CAGAAAACAGAGGCATGCAGAGTTCAACCTCATGAGTTCAACCTCAGTTCACAGAGCAAGTTCCAGGGCAACCAAGCTTAGGCAGTGAAGGAAACCATTGAAAAGAGAAAGCTGCTGAAGATACAATAGAACAAGAGGACCATGTTCCAGCCACAGCAATCAGCAGAACTTGGCAGCTTCAGCCACATGGTTCTGGCTTTAGAGTCAAGAATAGAAAGGGTTACTGGGACAGCTGATGCTGGTGAGCTGGAGCTAAGAAGTCAGCGGTGATTAAGAACAGACCAGCATCAATGAGGTGAAATCTTCTGGGAAGTGTTTCCTGGGGGCACAGAGAAGCGGTAAGAGAGACCTCGTGCTAGCAGTCAGTCTCCATAATGTGTAAGAGTCACCCTGATGGCACTGGTTTTGAGGGCATGAAGGGGTCATGGAGAGCATCTGAGGCTTGGCACTGTGAGAGGCCAGGAGAAGCCATTGTTGCAGCCTCAGTGGCAATTGAAGGCCCAGGACTGAGAGATTCTGCAGAGAAGTTGAGGCCTGACACCATGAAGAGAGCCTATGAAAGGCTATTGGTGAACGTGCAGCCTAGTTGCAGCAGAAGACTCCAGTGTATTGAAGATGGCAGTACCGTGGGATGACCATCAAGAACAGCAGCAGCAGTGGAGCCAGCCAGAGCCTAGAGTGCTCCAGAGGCCAGAGCTGGAGAAGTGACCCAAGCCCTTTGGAGGAGCCCAGAAGATCATATATGGATCCTAGACATTGGAACAAGAAGCAGCAAAGTTGCGTTGGAGACCCCAAGGTGTCAGGGGTGACAGAGCATTGAAAGCTGCTTACAGGGAGTGGGACCAGCCCAAGAGAAAGAAGCAGGCTTCAGCCAACAAAACTGAAAACAGCTGACATCAGACATGGAGATGCAGAGTTTGGAGTCTGCCTAGCTGGTTTTTGGTCCAGTACTTCCTATGATGTTTTGGAGTGGTCATTTATATCCTGTGATGTTTTTATTTTGATTTTATAGGGTATTACAATTAAGAGATTGCATTAATCTCAAAAGAGACATTGAACTTTGGACTTTTAAACATTGTCGAGACTGTGGTAGACTATGGGGACTTTTGAAGTTGGACTAAATGCATTTTGTATTGTTATAGCTACAAACCTATGGGGGCCAGGGAGTGGAATGTGGCAGTTTGAATAGCTTTGGCTCCCATAGATTCATGTGCTTGCTTGGAGTGGCACTATTAGGTGTTGCCTTGTTGGAGTAGGTGTGGCCTTGCTGGAGAAAGGCTTTGAGGTCTCATATATAAGCTCAAGCTATGCCCAATGTGACAGTCTCCTGCTGCCTTTGGATCAAGATGCAGAACTTTCAGCTCCCGTTCCTGCATCATGTCTGCTTGCATGCTGCCATGCTTCCTGCCATGACGATAATGGACTAAACCTCTGAAAATGTAAGCCAGCCCCAATTAGATGTTTTCCTTTGTAAGAGTTGCTGTGGTTACAGTGTCACTTCACAATAATAAAACCCTAACTAAGACACATGAAAATGAAGAAATGTAAAACATAAGGGTCAGAGAGATAGCTCAGAGTTTGAGAGCATTGGTTCCCCTTGTAAAGATGGTATTTGATTCCCAGAACATACGTGGTGGCCCTCAACTACCTGTAAATCCAGCTCCAGGGGAATCTGACGTCCTCTGCTGGCTTCCAGGAGCAGACATGTGGCAGGCACATATACACATAAATGAAAATTTAAAGCAAGTTTTATTTTGATTTTTGAAACAGGGTTTTTCTGTGTAATCCTGGCTGCCCTGGAACTAGCTCTGAAGACCAGGCTGGCCTCAAACTCACAGATATCCACTTGCCTCTGGCTCCTGGGTGCTGGGATTAAAGACGTGTACCACCACCACCCAGCTATGGAAATACATTTTTACAAAATAATCTGGGCACTGTTGCTCCGAGGTAGAGTGCTTTGCACCATTTGTCCTGGGTCCCACCCTCAGCACTGCAAAAGGAAGTTTTGTGCCAGCTGTGCTATCACAGGGCTGTCATCCCAGCAGGAGGACAGGAGTTCAAGGCTCGATTCCAAGGAACCTCCCACTCCAACCAAGTGACAGATCTGCATTGTGCCTCTTGAAGGCAGGAAAAACTAACCTGTCTTGGGGTTGAACATTTTCTAAGTAGAGGATTTGAACCCCAAATTAATTTCAGTATAATTATTATAGGTTTCAGTATAAAGCTGTTCCTGCTATCATGGTGGCAGGTGTCTTTAATTCCAGCAGGCAGGCAGATCTCTGAGTTCAAGGCCAGCCTTGGTCTACAGAGCAAGTTCCAGGACAGCCAGGGCCTCATTGTGAGACTGTTTAAAAGCAAAACAAAACACGTTCTGTCCAGAGAGAGAGAAAACATTAGGCTTGTGTGCCTGTGAACTGCAACCAGGCTTTGACGTACAGGGATACTTCCTTGTAACTTTTGATTTGCTTTGTTTTATTGAGACAGAGCCTGAGGATGACCTTGAACTCAGAGATCTGCCTCCACCTCCCAAGATTACAAGCATGTGCCACCACACCCAGTTTGCTTGCTATTTCAGTAGCTATATTCTTAAATTAAAAAAAAAAAAGACATAATTCGACCTCTTTCTGGCATTACAGTGATATTTCAATCTGGTGTACACTGTTTGAGATTGAGATAGGTGGCATATCCGTCACATTAAACATGTTAGGGAGCACTCAAAATCCTCACAATTAGCGAGTCTGAAATACACAATTAATTGCTGTCAACAATCATCATCCCCCTGTGCTACAGACCATTAGATTTTATTGCTCTCATCAAACTGCACTCCTGAGCTCATTCATCATCCATTCCCCATGCTCCCCAGTATACTTCTGATCATGATGGTATTTGGGGCTTTAAATAGTTGGGCCTCGCATGGCATGAATAACAAGCTTTGATAATCGTGATTTACAGGGCTAGAGAGGTGGCTCAGAGGTTAAGAGCACAGTCTGCTCTTCCAAAGGTCCCTAGTTCATATTCCCAGCAACCACATGGTGGCTCACACCCATCCATGAGAAAACTGTGATTTGACCAACTGCAAGAGGGAGCCTCAACTGAGGGATCACCTCCATCAAACTGGGCTGTGGGCAGATTGCACTATAACAGGGCTCTGTCCGATGTGAGTGGTGCCATCATTAGGCAGGTGGGCCTGGGTTGTATTAAGAAAAAAAAAAGTCAGCTCAACAAGCCAGAGGGAGCAAGACAGTAAACAGTGTTCCTACAGTTTCTATTTCAAGCTCCTGGAATTCATGCGTTGGTTTCCCTTGATGATGGAAACTGCCAAGTAAACCCTTTTCTTTCCAAGTCATTCTTAGTCAGGGTGTGTCACAGCAACAGAAAAACAAATGGGGACAACTATTATCACTGTAAAAGCCTAGCTCAGTTATTGTGCAAACTCTAATGTTTGGAATCTGAACCAGTGGGGGGAGGGGTGTCTTCAGTGAAAGCTCTCAAGACCAAGGTCCCCTTTCAGGGGTTCATAACATGGAATGACAGTAAGCAGATGTGAGATGGGACCACACAGTGGGTACTTGGGTTAGAACTTCTCTTTGGAAAGGCAACCTAATCCAACAGCTATGGACTCCTTGCTGGAGAATTTGGTCCCTAAAGCAGAGAACAGCGGCCATCTTCCTCAGGTTAGCTGTGCCTTCTTGCAAGCCCCTCACATGTGGCTTATGGACTGTTGACCCTCCCTCACAGGGAAGATGTGAGGAGTGCCCTGGGCCTCCCTGGCCTTCTGCAGGTATTTCCTCCCTAACTGGAGATGGTCTCGGTGCCCTCGGCAGCTGCTAAGGTATTAAAGGCTGGGGGAATTAACTGATCGGGGCTCCACCTCTGCAGCTGTTGGGAGCCATTATCCATGCTGGGTGTAGACTTTACAGTGTGGCTATTTTTAGGGTCACATACATTGCCAGGACCCACCACTCACTCTGTAAGGTGCCCAGTAAATTCATTGGTTGGCTAGAATGAACTCCACTGAGACCTTATGAGAAAGGGACAGATGTTGCTTGTATCTCCACTGGGAACTGCATTCATCTGCCCATCCTGGAGCGGCACAGCACTGGTAGGCGCTTTCATCACCATTGCCCACCACATACAGCCTGGGATCTCAGGAATAAGGCTCCGACAGACCAGTAGTGCATCAAACCAGTTTCCCAGCTCCCCTTCCTTCCTTATCCCATTAGGTCTCAGCCCTGCTGCGTAATTAGGTAGTAACATCACCACTAGCTGCCTCCAATCCGTGTGCTATTGGGGGAGTGAGGGGGGGTTGGTTACTGTCCCCCTGTCTGGCATGGCTCAGAACCTGGCATTTAGAAGGCAATCTGTGTTTTCAGCCAACTGACTGGCTGGCTCCAATCATCTTCACGGTATGACTGGACTGGATCCTAAGGACTGTGGCATTTTATAGTGTAAGTACCCCAATGCCTTCCCTTCCCACCAGAGAACAAACAAGTACTTACCTGGATGTTCATGAAATAATTTCTGTCCAGTACATGCTGTGGTCAGAGGAGCATGGCCTAGAGCTAGAGGTGATGGCTCAGCAGTAGAAAGCATTTCTGGAACCCCCAAGCAAAAGGTCAGTATGGGCTCAGTGCTAACATGGGTGCCTAGCCCAAGGTTCCCCCTCCAAGGCTACAAAATAAAGACAGCACCCTTGCTTGGATGTGACTTGTACAGGGAACACCAAAGTCCCCAAGGGCAGTGTTGTCCCACTGCTCAGACAACCCTGTGTTCCCTGGTCATTCCCACAGTGGACAGTTTTGGGTTGCTGGAAGCTACAAAGGGGAAGTCAGCACCGAGACCCTGAGGTGCCAGGTCACTCACACTGCATTACACAAGTCTTCTAGCAGAACCTGCTGCCTGAGGCACTACTGTGTGACAGGCCAACTGAGCCATCATCCCACTTCTTCTCACCACTCCTCCCCTATACATGACAACAGAGCAAATGACAAACACCACAATACAAGAAAATGGTTTTATTCTAATTTTCAGTTCCAGACAGCTCACAAATACACTGCCTCTGATGATACACGGAGTATATGCAGATATACTCTGACAACTTCAGCTAAGAAAGCAGCTGACACTCATGACACAGGTGGGGAGGAGACAACCTCTGAGGTTTCTCTACATGAACTATTCTGTTAATGTCACTTTTAAAAAATTGCAGACTACACAATATGCGTGGGCAGAAAGCCAGCTGAGTGCGTCTCCTGACACTAAAGTGTAATAAACAGCAAACAGCCAACATTTACATGATTCACACCAAAATGATGACACCCAAAAACATGTTCCTTTTAAAGGACAGATTTATCAATAAAATATTATATTTCTTTAATACTCTGCCTGATGCTTCATTTGCTGTGGGGAAGTTAAAGGTGAGTCTAGTCATTGGCTTCAGGGAAGGGCCTTTCCCATTAGCTTTTATTAATGAAAGAGTCACAACTAGGTCATAAATAAAGAGGCAAATGATTAATCCCACAATTGAGATTTAGGAGGAAAAGTTGTGAAAATTAGTTTGATGCACAACCAAGTTTTACAGGACTGACAGCAACTGCTCTCTGCTCTCCCCTGTGTCCCGCCCACTCTGAAAAAGCAGCAAGCTGCTAGTGATGGGAGATGTCATAAGCTCTACTCGGGAGCTTATCTTTCCAAGACGGGGAAAAAGATTCAACAAAATGGTGGGCTAGCACAGACCCTAAGGCATCTGAAGCCAGAGCAACTGTGCTGTAAAATGGCTCCAACAACAGGCAGGTTGGTGGAGCCTGCGCCTGCCTCCGCCTGCAGTCTGTCTCCCTCATTAGTGTACCTACCTCAGTCCCAGCGCAGGGAAACAAGGCTTATGTTCTTGAACTCCCAGAAAAACCCCTAGAAATAAAGCTGCTCACTTCTGATCTGTTCAAGGCCGCTGTTTTCTAACCCCCATTTCGCCATTAGAAAGACACCAACTGTAATGGCAGAGGTAACCTGGGGCATCAAGAGGGCCACATGCCTGTGTTGACAGGCCATTAAGACTCTGAAGTGTAGCTTTCTAGAAACCAATACCATGTGCTAGACCATTTCTCCCCCAATATAAAACCCTAGGCTTCTGACTCAAAAGGCTCAGCAGCGAGGGGACCATGTTGCCATGTCCAGTCTGCTCAGTGCTGTTCCTCCATGCCCAGGAAGCCGATGTTCACACGCTGGCTGCTCTGGCCCTCTGCCCTCCAACTTGCTCATGAACCACCTATGCAACTTTCATTTCCACTATTTCAAATCCACACCAGCAATACATCATCTTCCTAGACACCACACCCACCTCCAACACAGAATGCCCTCTCCTGAGACCCTGCAACCACCACCTACCATACTGAACAGATCCAGGAGACCTAGGGACTCTTTAAGAATCTGTTTCCCTATTGGGGTGACAGCTGGTTGGCTTCTGGGAGGGGAAACTGAAGGAAAACACTTGCTGTCCTGAACACAGTGGACCAAGAACAGGTCTTTCTGCTCCTGGCAGGCAGAAATGTTAACTCAGGAGATCAGCTGCTCAGCTAGCCTCTGTGTGCTGGCGACAGAGTTAGTCCCCAAAGTCCAGAGTCTAAACATTACCACCAACCCCAACACGGTTCATTGTAATGATGTGCTAAATAAAAAGAAGAGGATTTAGGATCCTGGCTGAAAATGCTGTTTGTTCCAGGCTTGCCAAGAAGACTGGAGTCTCTAAGTTCCTGATAAGGGAACACTGCCAGGCCATGCTGTGCTCTGAGCAATTCTGAGTTCAGTGGAAAAGGGGCAAGGATCAACACACATGCTAAGAAGATGGTGGGGCCCTGTACTCCCCAACTACCTCAGACTGACAGGGAGTGGGAGGCCTCAGAAAGGAGCGACTGCAGGACAGAGTCCAATCCTTCCTTTCAGGAACTAAAAGCAAGAATAATGCAAGCGGAGACCGTGCCATTATTTGGTCATGAGCGTCAATCCGGAAGCTCCTGAAACACGCTCTCAAGGGAGTGGGGCAGAGGGGCATCTCTGGAGAAGGCACTTACGGCAGAACATTAGCAAATCCTGCTGCCTGGTTAGAGAAGAGGCTAACTGGACCTGACAGGTGGCCTGGCCAGGACCCCCACTCTTCTCACTCAGCCAAGGCCCAAGAAGCATCACCTTCACCCATCTATGGTGCTTAAGAAATGAGCTCCCATGCGTCCTCCACACTACCACACCCAGTCTTCAGGTAAGGATGATGCAGCACACATGTGGTGCCAGAAAAATAGGCTCAGAAGCTTCTAGAAGGTCTGCTATCCATTTCCCATCTGACAGTTTACACCAGCTACTATAAGCAGTCTTAGCTCTTGCTAACTGCAGCCACTTGCTTCCCCGGCACAGGCTGAGGCTTTCTGACAGACTGGTAGTCCAAGAGCATGGCACCTCCACTTTACACCTCAGGCTGAGCCTGATTCCCTCACAGGCAGCCGAGGAAGAAATCATGGTCATTCTAGGTCTGAGTCTGAAGAAGGCCTGGTCACCTCTGCATTTGTGCCCTAGGGAACACATAAGGGCCCAGCCACCCTACTGGTGAGGCTACAGACACCCAGGAGAAGAAACCTGGAAGACAACACATTGAGACAGAAGCCCAGTGTCTCAGCCATGCTGCCAACTTCCCAAGTGACCACCACAGGACAGTGGGGCTCATGCAATCCAGACCAGACTGAAGAATGGGGTGGGGTGGTGTCAATCAGGAACAAGTGAGGACCAATGCCGCTCACCCAGGGGTCTTACTAATATAAGATGGTGACTCCAGTGCAAAGACAACACGGTCACTTTTCCCAGAACAGCTTCTCTCTCTACACCTGAAGCCAAGGAGTCATCTTCAGAGGAAAGACTTCTTATATGGCAATTCCCACAGCCTTCCAGCCATGACTTTCTACCCCTTGACCCTCTCATACAATGGGTGAATGATCATTTCACTAAAGAAGCCACCAAAGTGAACTGTCTTCGACTGGGTCAGTCTGTGTTGAATGTGCCCCAACATGCATCTGCAGAGAGCACAAAGAATCCCCAATGCCATGGTGTGGACAGACGGGACCCTAAGGGATGGCTGGGTCTTGAGGGTGTGTCATCACAGATTTGCTGTAAAAGTGAAGCCTGCCTTTGTGCCTTCCCAGCCAGATGGCCCTCGCCAGGTGCAACCCTACAGCCTGGTCTCCAGACCCCTGGAGCTAAATAGTAAGTCCCTGTGATGACTGTGAACCTCAGCAACCACTGGCCAGTGCATCGGGAGCCCCGTGCAGCGCAGGAAGATGAGCAGTGCTTTACAAACTGCTGGCTTTTCGAGGAGGCTGCTCCTGAATTTCCCCCAATCCTTTCTTCTTACAAGGGGCCCATGATTCCCCAAAGAGAGAGGAAGAAAAAAAATCAGATCTGCTAAGGTCAAAAAAAGAAACAAAGAAAATCCTGCCCATAACTAGAATTTGAGTCCCATAATATATAAAATACAGAGCACAATTTAGCTGCTTCCACAACTCAAAACCAATTCTATGAAAATAGCATTGTCGACAACGTAGAGCAGTTTCTCCTTAGCTGAGGAGAATAGGTGCCAATTAGACACATGCTCTTCAAATGGTTCCAAACTTCGCTTCTCGGGGGGCAGTCAGTCAACCCCGGCGAGCTTCTGAACACGTGGGTCTTGGAAACGTTCTGTCTATCCTTGACATTTTTGGGGAAGGGGTGAAAGTTCGCATCTGAAGAAGAAAGAAGTTACAACTTTTAGGGAGCACACATATAAAAGCATATCACACACTCATGCTGGACAAATGCTCTCTGCTGAACTACATTGTCACTGGCAGAAATTTCAACATGTGATACCATACTGTATATTTCTAACTTACTACAAAAGCCTGCAACATGTATGTGGGCCTATCATATGACTTCCAGGGAGGCACTGCACAAAGAAATGACCCAATCAAAAGTCAGGGGAGTCCAGGACCCCATGCCCTCAGAGGCATCCCTGCTCCTGATGCCAACAGCTCCCAGACAGCAGGGCATGTGCCACCCAAGTCCAGTTCTCTCTGCGGCACAGTGATGGCTGTGCCTCATCCTGTCAACTGCTCTAAGTGCCAGCCCCACCCCTAGCCACAGTTATCTGATTTTAATGCTCAATGAACTGTAAACCAAACCCATCGTGGAGAGGGACAAGGCAAGAAAAGAGGCTGGTTTGCAAAGCTCAATCACAGTACATCTTGCTCTGCATACACTAATCATCTGTCGGTCCAGACGTGCTGTGAATCACAGTCCCACAGAAAACCCTGGCGTGTAAGTACCTGTGTGCTGCCACCTGTGGGGTTCATCTGAAACTCCTCTGCTGCTGCATGAGGCCCACATTCTCGTAGACTCGAGCACTGTCCTCCCTCATTCTGCACACAGAGAAGAAAGACATTTACCTCAACTGACATGCCTCATCTGGCCCAGCTATGCTAAGAGTCCCTTCTCACCCAAGAGCTGACTCTCAAAACAGACATCACACACATATCATTACGAAACTGGAAAAGCAGCAGAGGCCTTGAGCCCTGTGCCTTCTGGAGTGTGGACAGAGGGCAAAGGACAAGTTGGGTCATGTACACACAGACAGGAACTGTGGCCATTTCCAACAGGGGCATCAGAACAGGCGAGGGCTCCAGTCACCTTCAGTGCCTTGGACAAAGAACTAAAGCATCTGAGGGTGGGCCCAGCTTCCTGTTAAGACGGTATCAGAGCTCTGAGCAGCCCCAGGGCCTGGGATCTGAGGACAACACAGGGTGTGGCAGAGTGGCTTGTCAGTCACAGGTGAACCTCCTAGGAAGGACATATACCCAGCAGCGTGAGAGAAGGGGGGTAGGCTCCCCAGCAAGTTAATGCAGCTAATGACTCGAAACACCAATGTCCCCAATCAGCCTGCTGGAGCAGAGGAAAGCAAGCAGAGGGAGGTGGCGAGGAGAACAGCCCTGCCACACAATTTCATTTCCATGTTTAACACAGAGAGAGTAAACACAGGCCTCTAGCGCTCTCAGAGCTGTGTAGAGCCAATATTAAAGTCAGTGGGGCTTAAAAAACCCACAGCGGAAACAAACAGGTGGGATTCCAGGGTAAAGAAAAAGTAAATGTTATGGCAGACAGCGCCGCTGTGGTATAGATTATGCAGCTGCTAGTCACATGGTGTGGTTTTCTTTAAACCAGAGCTGCCAGAGCCCTCTGGAAAGAACCAGTTTGTGACGACTCCACAGGCTGGACATTCCCTCCACATGTTACGTGTTGGGGTTTTCTTTCCCAGGCCATTGTATGTGAGGGGCAAATGGGTTATGGTGTGAGGGCCTTCGCAGACATCGAGCATTGGGGTGACAGAAGGAGCACAGTGAGTGAGAGAGGTTAACAGTACACTTAGTCCTAATCTTGCCAAACGGCCCTAAAACTGTCATTTAAGTTGCAGGGACCTAGGTCTCCTCGAATGTGCACATGGGTTCTACTGAGTACTGTCTTTCTTAGGAGTCTTCAGTGGTAGGCTACAGAGCACCAGCACAGAGGACTGGGGTGCTTCACCCCAAATGGCCTCAAGACATTTTGCTTTCAAGAAATTGTAAGCACCAGCCTGTGGCTCCAGGTTTAAGACTGTCTAACAGACACAGAGGTGCAGTCACACTGCTGGATACACTAAAACATCTGAGACCTACCTAAAACATCCAGAGCTGCTGGACACAAGTGAATCCTTGCAGTATTTGGAGTTAGTGAAAAAATAATGACAATCTGAGACTAATTTCCTTCTTTCATTCAAAGTTCAGTCTCCTACTTGGAGTCTGACACTGTCTGGGTCCTTCAGCGCTCTGCTTCTGAGTGTATCTCTAGTTCAACTCACATGCTGGGAATGTCACAGTAAAGTACTTTCCAAATTCCCTAACTATTAAGGTGATATCATGCTGAATGCCTCTGGCGCAAAATCTTGCCTGAGATTTGAGCGCTTCGTAAGTGGAATTCTCCAAGCTGCAAGGTCAGACATGACCGTGCTCTTATGGCTCTGGCTGCAGTTATGAGGCAAGCTGTCCTGCAGAGCTGAACCAATGTGCTTAACCACCACTGTGCAACAGCGGTTCCTTTATAACGAACTGTCCTCAGCACTGCTGGACACTGCCCTTCTGGTTTTGCTTGGTGTTTGGAAAGAGCTTGGAGCTTCCCCTTTGTGAGTGCTGACCGCCATGGAAAACAAGCTTCTCCTGTGTGTCCACAAGCCACCTATGGATTCTTTTACACCAGGCCTATTTGTAACTGCCTGTCATTTCCACTGGAATGACTGCCCCTTTGGAGTGGTTGCTTTTTAAATCAGAACTCCTTTAAAAAAGCAAAGCTAGGCCTGTGGGCTTTGGTTTTCTGACCCTTGGTTTAAAAACCCTGACTAGCAGATTACAGTCATGCCCATACATGAACAGAGAGTTTATTTATTCCTAGTTGTCAAAAAGTCACAACACATTGTATGGGACAGCACCGTCCATTGAAATAATGCCCCTACAAAAGAAAAATTATATTTGCCCCAGAGAACCCTGGCCTGACAGGCTTAGAGACCCCAGGATCCTGGAGAGCCCAGCACGTGTCTACTGATTGGGGGCCATGAAACTCTGTTTAGACACTGCCCACACAGTCCCTAGGGGGATCCCAGCCCCAATCACCCCCATGCACTATCAGTGCAGTGAGCAAGTGTGACAAGGAGGTTCTGCAAATGACTGCTGCTAAGCTTCTACGAGAGCTATGATGTCGCATCACTACTTACTCCGCACAGGGTGGTGTTGGGGTGCAAGGTGGCAGGGGACTCTGATCACCACTTGCCTGGTCCACCAGGGAATATTTAATATTGGTATATTCGTGTCCTTTCCTTTTGCTTTTCTGAAAGTTAAAAAAAAATACAGGTAAGTAGGACTGAGTTTGTTTTTTAGAATATAGAAAAACACTATTTTATCAAAAGAGAAGAGAAAGACAGATGGACAGGACAGACTCTTAAGAACACTAACATGCTGACCAAATTGCCAGGAGCTTGCCTGATCCTCCTTAGCCCAGTACCTGAGAGAGGAGTGCAGAACCCCCAGAGCTGAAGGGATGTAGGAAGTGCCCACTGAACCAGGCTAGAGGCCTTACTGCTTTTGCATGGAGCTCGAATCTCTGTATGCGTGTGCCTACTGTTCAGTAGATTAATAGGAAAGGAGTTCTAGAAGGAGTCACTCCAAGTAGAAATGCACGCAGTAATGGAAGGCACAATAATGCACTTTATTTATTTAGCAGTATTGGAATGGCACCTAGAGCTCTTGCACATGGCTGGGCGTGTGGCTGACCATTGGGGACACTCCCCCAACCCTACAACCAACCCCATATATAAACATCAGAAAAGATCACAGCACCTTAAAATGTTATTTTGAAGCCAGGCACATGTCTTTAATCCCAGCACTCGGGAGACAGAGGCAGGCAGATAGAATATCTGTGAGCTTGAGGCCAGCCTGGTCTACAGAGTAAGTTCCAAGACAGTTAAGGCTTCACAGAGAAACCCTATCTCAGGAAATCAAACAAACAAAAAAACTGAAATGTTATTTTTACTCTAATGAAATGGTGAGGCAAGGAAACCAACAAAGAAAATTCAACAGAAATGTAATCTCATCTCCTGATGTATTCATATGTGTGAGGGCTCACATATGCCACACGTGTAGAAAGCAGAAGACAGCCCTGTAGAGATGGCTCTCTCCATAATGGTAAGGACTGGGCTTGGTTCCTCAGGTTTGTACAGCAAGGGCTTTTACTCACTGCATCACCCCACTGGGCAGTTACCTTTTCTCACATTCCCTTGTGGACTGGCAGTTCTCAAAGTGGAATTCGTCAAAGGAACAGTGGATGTAACTGCATGTACCCTGGCACTGTTAGGAAGGAAGTTTGGCCACACTGCAAACTGACACACACCTAGGAGCCATCAGCTGCTAGTGGGGGCCAAACAGAGAATAATAATGGCTCAATAATAAGTGCTTCCTACCCGACCTACACAATGCTCTGGGCTCCATGCGTGGCACTGAAAAACAGAAAAGATGCTATTTGGTTCTCAACAGTGAAAGCAACACTAACTAGCTAGCCTTCGGTAAAAATAAAAAAGCATGTACTTGATGACCCTCTGTATCCGGGTCTCACTGGGAAATCCTTGCATGGAAATCTAAGAGCTGTACAGGTGGCTTGGGCATGATGCTCTTTGTAAATGTCCATCCGAGCAAAAGAACATGATATCTGCACATATTGAAACAGTACACAGCAGAGGAGAAGAGAACACTGCCTGCAAAGATTCATATAAAGAGCTAAGTGGAAAACACAAGCTAAGTGACAATAACACAGAAGGCTCCCACTGGCCAACATCTGAACTAGCAAACAATGGTCTGTGTGGTTCTCAGATGTCTGTGTTTCTGTTCCATTTATATATGGGTGTGTCTGTCTGTGTGCATGCTACTTATGATCAGGTGCCTCTGGAAGCCAGAAGAAGGAAGTAGATCTGCTGAAGCTGGAGTTATAGGCTGTTGCTATACCTGCCAACATGGGTGCTAATAACTGAACTCAGGAAATGTGGAAGAATGGCAAGGGTTCTTAATGGCTGAGCTCGCTCCAGCTCACAGACTTATATTTTAAACACAGGAAGTCACTCTGGGAACAAGAGATGTAGCCCAGTTGATAGCCTGCTTGCCTAGCTCACATGCCCCTGGGTTCCTTCCCCTGGGTTTCTCCTGTGGAACCACATGGAGACAGGAACTGAACTAGAGGCCAGGCAGGTCTACAGAGCTGTTCCAGGACAGCAGGGGCTATCCAGAAAAACAATGTCTCAAAAAACAAAAACAAAAACTGTTTCAGCAAGAAGCACTTTTATAAATAAAGACACTCATGACTGTCCCCTACACAGCTTTGTCCCTGCCCTCCCCTCTCCTTCTGTGTATTTCTTGCTTGCTTGCAAGTGTGTGTTTTCTTTCTGTCTTCGTCTCTCTCTCCCCTTCCTTTTCCACGGCGGTCCACCCAACTGTCACTTTGTTTTCATTTAACCTTCTCTAGCAAATTCTTTTACTCCCAAAGGGCTTAACTCATCCCAAGTCGGAAAATTACTACATTTCGAAATAATTCATTATTCTAAATGAGTTTTGTCCTGCTGCTTAATTTAAGAATCTGTTGGGCTTGGGCCGGAGCCACACTGCGGCAGTTAAGGGTGCAAAGTGTTCCTACAAAGGGAAGCTCAGTTCCCAGCAACAATGTTGGAGAGTGTGCATCCTGGTTCAAGGGGTCCACTGCCCTCCTTGTGGAATCTGTGTGCACTTGACTCACAAGTATACCTACACATGGGCACAGGCTCATGCACATTTAAAATTAAATTTAAAAATGGGGGGGGGGTGATACTTTTTGTGTGTAGTGGTGGTTTCCTTTTTCATTGTTGTTTGGGCAACAGGGTCTTACATAGTTAACACTGACCTGGAACTCAATACATAGCCAAAGATAACTTTGAATTTCTGATCTACCTGTCTGTGCCTCTCAAGAGCTGAGACTGCAGGCACGCACCACCACTTCAGGTTACATGGTACTGTGGATCCAAACCATGGTTTTTGTGTGCTAGGCAGGAACCCTACCAACTGAGCTATATCCCTAGCCCAAATCATATATATACAGAAAAGTATGTTTATTTTTGAAGCAGGGTCTTACTATGTGGCCCTTGGCCCTCTGGTACTCAAGGCCAATGGTACAGTTCTTTCTATTCTTCCAGGCCAAGCAGAGTGGTGCACACCTTTGAGCCCAGCACTTGGGAGGCAGAGGCAGGAGCATCTCTGAGTTCAAGGCCAGCCTGGTACACATATTGAGTTTCAGGCTAGCCACAGCTACAAAGATTATCTTAAAAAAAAAAAACTGTTAAGAGATAGTCTGCCACACTGTGACATGCACTGAGTCCCCTCTACCAGGTTCACTGGAAGGCAATAGTCATAAATAAAAAGGACAAACATGGTTAGTGTTTAGACACCACCCATCTGCTGCAGCACAATGGGGCTCGGGAGAGGAATAGGCGAAGCTCCCCAAAAGAACAGCTCTCCTCATCTCCCTCAGCTCAGCACATCTAATTAACTCAGCTTTGTGTCTGTTATGAATAGCCTCACATGGAAAGGCTCCAAATGCACACTCTTCATTATGCACAGCTTATTAAAATTGAAATTCACTGTTTCAATGCAGCTAAATTAGTAGCTCAAACTGCCATGCTCTATTAAGAAGAAGGCATTCATTTTATAAGACGGAATCAGGATAGACCAGCCTAGATCAAAGCTGAAGCAGGCTGGAAACTGCAGCCCTGAGTTCTAAGCCTGGCATGTCAAAGTCACTTCCTTTCTGTGTGGCAGAGCCTTGACTGTCAGCTTATGATGATGGCAACACACTGCCCTGAGCTAGGCAGCAGAAGATGATGACTAAGCTTCCAGCGAGGCCAGCTGGGGTGGGAATCTGTTAACCTTATCCCGGTAAAGAGAGCCCATGCTCCAGCTCTAAGACAGCAAATCCAGGTGGCCTGCAAGGAACTGAGCCCATTGTCATCTCCTCATTCCATACCTGTTCCTCCTCAATCCTGCGCTGCAGCGTCTCAATGTAATGCTGGACGGCCATGTAGATGAACCGGTACTGTGCTTCTGTTTGGACCATCCCTGACCTCTGGGACCGCACCATCTGAATGGTTTTAGGAACGTCGATGTCACAGTCCACACCTGCAAAGCACAGACCCTAAAGCTGCAGGGTGAGCTGCAGGGTGAGCTGCTTGGCTTTCCACACCACTTTCCACAGTGGATAGGGACTCAGGGCTGGTACCTTCCCATAGCACTAACCATGGGGGCTGCAGGGCAGGACTCCTGAGCCAATGCTCAGAACAATGGCAGGAGCTGCCAGGACAAAGTGCTGGAATCAGAAGCCCCTCACTTCCTGAGAATGCCACACCACACCACAGGCAAGGAATGAGTGGCTGGAGGGGCCTTGTAACATGGGTAACAGAAAGCATGGTGATAGGATGAGAGCTCTAAGACATTGCTATATAGCCACAGCTGAACAGGAGAACTCATTGAAAGTGAAGCTCATCCAGATTTCCATGACTCTTTCTCCTGCTAATTCTCTCTCCCTGGCTATTTTCCCTGGCACTCTCCTTTCACAAACTGAAAACAGGAACTGTAGCCTTTTGCCCTCCAAAGGACCTACCTTTCTCTCGAATGATGTCAATAAGGATATCAATCACAATGAATGTTCCTGTCCGGCCAATTCCAGCACTGTAAGTAGAAGAGTAAATAGCAGGGGCGCTGAAGTAAGGGGATTTCACATTCAGAATCAAGCTACTACTCTCCACAGACTCTGCTCTGCATGTCTAGAAGATGCTGGTCACAGATGCACACCAGCTTCCCCTGTTCCATCCCTAGAGTGTCAGGACCCTATGTTCCTGGCTCGGGCCTCTGGGTATCCTTGTTTCCTCATCTGTGAAGTGGGGAGGTGACAATACCTCTGGATGGTTTGCCATGAGGTTCACAGTACTAGGCCTGGAGGCTCTGAACAACACATGGCATCTTTTTTCTACTCCCAAGTTTCATATGCCTGTTCTTGAAAACAATTGGCCAAATTATGGCTCTTCTTGGCATAGAAACTTGTACAGAGGCTGTGGCTTCCTGTCTTAAAGACCACAAGAGACAGTCAAAGGAAAAAAATGTGTGTTCATTTCTTTCCTAAAGAGCCACCTACCTGAAAAACCTACATCAATGGTGGTTTAAAAACAAAAACAAGCAAAAAAAAAAAAACTGAACAGGCCAGCCATGGTGGTATCGGTCTGTTACCCCAGCAATCCAAAGGCAGAGGGCAGGGGGATCACTGCAAGTTTGAAGCTAACCTGGACTACTGAGATCCTATCTCAAAATAACAATAACATTAACACACACAAACACACACACACACACACACACACACACAAAACACTGAACAATGAAAGCTTCACTCATTTCTACCTTGGCTCAGCATATGAATGAGCCTTTAGGAAACTAAATATCCCTATTATAACCAGGCAGCCCAGTCTAGGGTACCAAAAGCCCATATACCTTGCTGTGGTGACCCTGGAGCAGTCTCCACAAAGGGCCATGTTAGAAGAGACTGGCCTCTGAATGAGTGGTATGCGGAGTGCTAGGAACAGTGTCACATCTCCACAGACAACAAGAGACTCCTGAGCCCCTAAGTTTAAAAGAAACTATTAAAAGAAATCAAGCTGAGCTGTCACCTGCAGTGAACCACGACAGGGCCTGCATCCATGATGCTCTCCTGCTTGTGGTGGACCTCCTCCAGGAAGTCCAGCACACCTCCAGGGTCACTGGGCACGCCATGGTCCGGCCAGGTCCGAAAGTGGTACTGCCAGACGGTTCTCTCTGTGTTTCCCTGGAGTAAAGCCAAGAAAAGCCAGAACAGAATTAAATAAACCAAGGGCTAAGGAATTATGATGGCTGAGCCTTCCTAGCATCTTTAAGAATGAAAAGCCCAGAATCTCCACATACGCCATTCTCTGGCTCCCAAGAGTATTTCTCTGAGAGCCAATGGGCCAGCCTGGAGGTAGCACCTGCCTGTCAAATGATCTAAGACATCTAGCTTGGCAATTTGTTCTTCTGGCTAAATGTAGCCAAAGCATAGCCCTGAGTCATCAAATCAGGCCATGTTCCCTGTTTTTTCTCAGTCAGGTGGCACTCAACTCCAGAGGCCACTGAGGTCCCTAAGGATTGCAGCCTGTCTTCCCAACTAGCAGTTTGGCAAACTCTAGCCTCCCCTTAAGCATTTGTTCCACTCTATTCTTAGATGCTCACCCTTACAGCCTCAGATAGGCACCCATTACAGCACTGTCAGAGCCAGAAGATAGGCTTTGTGAATTAGATGGTGAGACTTGGGCTCAAATCCCAGGCAGCCCCTTACTATAGAGTCACCGTTGTATAACTCAAACCCTCACATCCATTTGCTAAGAAATCTTTCTCACACAGAAGAACAGAAGAGTTGAACAAAGGGCCTCTCCCAGAAAACAGGAAGTAACTGGGGATTGAGAACATCCTGGCTGTTCTGAATGACAATGACCAGGGACCAACAGAGGCACCAGGTCCACTGCCATCTTAGAAGCTAAAAGCTGGCCCAGAATCGCCACCAGTGATTTCCCATGGAGACAAGCCAGGAAAAGGGAAGGGAAAGAAGGAGGGCAAGAAAGAAGAAAGGAAGAGCGGGAGGAAAGACAGACTGTATGAAGGGGACAGGAAGAGAAAGACAGGAGGACAGGAGGAGGGGAGGCTTCAATATCGACCAATACTGGTGAACTTTCTTACATCCAAGGGCTCCTGCCATAATCACAAACTCCCGTGTATGCTAAATGCATTTAATTTGCTGATGTCATGGAAAACTAGCCTTGTCACTACTAAGTGACCTGAAACTCAGGCAGTTTCGTGGGTCATACACAGGCAAGCAAGAGAAATAGAGCATGCACAGCCTCACTGCATAGCAACACCCCTTCTTAGCCAGGGCATCTCTATACATCAGTGCTATACAATAGGTGTTCTGTCATAGCAAGATAGGAGCCAGAGGTCCATGACAACCTCTATGCCAGAATAAAAGTGCAAGTGCATCACCATCTCCCTCACTTCTCTCTCAAAAATATCCCGGTAAGCAAGATGGAACAAGACCTGTGGCATCATCCCCATACAGAGACAAGCCACACAGCACCATTACACCTTTCAAAGGAAAGAATGGGGGTTGTTGAGCAAGACAAGAGCTTCTCACTAGCACCAAAAGAAACTGCCTGCTACTCAGCAACACTGACGAGCCTGGCAGTTCATCATGAAATGTCACAAGAGGGTTGGCAAGGCAGCACAGTTGGTAAAAAAACACCTGCCACCAAACCTGACGAACCAAACTCCTCAGAAACTTCATGGTAGAAGAAGAGAACCAACTCTTGATAGCTGTTTTCTGACCTCTCTACACAAGTGTGCCACAATGAACACACCTCCAATGGCTTGTACACACCTCTCAGAGAGCACAAGAAACAGATCACTTTCTGCTCACCATCAGTCCTAGACTTTGCTCCTCCTGCACTCCCAGCACCACATGGAAACAACCTGTTGTGGCCTGGAACCAGCCCACCTACAAAACAGTGGGTCACACCCTCTGTTGAGCCTCCCTGATACCTGCACTTCCATGGCTCAAAGGCATTTATTTCTACAGGCTGGCTGCTGCTCCTCCCGCAGTCCACCCTCCAAATCCAGGGGCTGCAGGTCATCCTGTGCTTACCACCAACCAACCCATCGCTTTCCTCTACAAGGATCCTAGGCCAGCCTCTGCTGTCTGGCTCCCCTGCCACCACCCCAGCTAAGCCCCACCATCTCAGCTCTCCATCCTAGGCAGCAGCCTCCAATTGGTCCTAAGATCTACCTGCAATGGCCTCATCTCCTCCAATTCTCTAGGGAAGAAAGTGAGTGCTCAGCTCCAGCTGTGGCTGCCAACATCACTAGAGTAAATACCAACGTCCTTACATCCTTTCCTGACCCATCTCTCAAGACACTACACCTTTTGATTTGGCCCTAACTACATTCTATAGTGACATACCAGGGCATGTCAGTGGAAGTATTCTGGACAGTGAAGGGCACAACAGCTGTGTTGTTCCCCAGTTGTCCCCAGCAAGCAGCACAGTGCTAGTAACACATGTGTGCACTCATAACTGTCCATGCACCTGATGAAGATGCCTGCTCAATGGCTCAGCAAAATGTGTCTGCACAGTAGCTCTGCTTCTGGCCTTTCTCACATTGGCCACAACAATGCTGTCCACTCAGACTCAAAGCTCTAACACACCTTTAGTCCCTCTTCCCTCCAACAGCCAAACTGTCCTGATGGCCTGCGAATGACTTCCCAGGGGCCTGATACTCACTTTTTTGCCTCCAGCCCATTCCCAACCAAAGGAATAAGTACAGCAGGAAAGACCTATTGCTGGAGATATGGAGAACAGGCTAGACCATAGAGGCCTCCTAGTAGGGCCTCATAGCCAGTAGTTACATCCCCTCTGTCCATTCCAAGGGCTGCAGAGACCTCTCTGCACACAGCTTTACATCTGCTCTCCTAATAAAACATCCTCAAACCACATGGTAAAGAAAGAGAACCAATTCCCACAAGTTGTCCTCTAACCTTTGCATACATATGTGCATGCATGTACACACACACAATAAACGTAAAAATAAATAAACTTAGCCGGGCATGGTGGTGCACACCTTTAATCCCAGCACTCAGGAGGCAGAGGCAGGCAGATCTCTGTGAGTTTGAGCCTAGCCCTAGCCTGCAAGTTCGAGGCCTGCCAGATAAACACAACAAAATAAAATAAAGTAAAAATACTCAGCCAGTTGTGGTGGCACACCTTTAATGCCAGCACTATGGAGGCAAAGGCAGGAAGATCTCTGTGACTTTGAGGACAGTCTGTCTCTGTTGGCAGTTCCAGGTCAACCAGGGATACAAAGTGAGACCCTATCTCAAAATAATAGTAGTAGTAATAGTAGTAATCTTAGAAATAATAGTTAATTTATTAATTTTAAGGCTCTGTCCAATGTGGCCTAACCCGAGTATTTTCTTAACACTGTTCCCACCTCTCCTGCCCTATACCTCATTTTCTTGCAATCAGGATGCCATATGTGGCTCAAACACCTGTGCCCTGAAGGCACACTTTGAGGGCCAACCTCACTCCAGCTGAAGAAGCCACTCAGGGCACATGAGCTTGAAGCACAGCTATCTGTGTGTAGGGCTTCTTGGTGCACCTGGCTGTGATCCATGAGGACAAGCGTGGTTTTCTTCATCTAGGAGTCACCAAAGATATCAAACTAAGTCCTTCTAAACACAAGACAGAAATTACTCCAAACTGAATCCTGCTTTTTTGGAGCCAGCAACTCCAGGACCAATCCTGAGCCACAGCCATGAAAAAGAGCTACTGCACTAACCTTGATCACTGCCTGGAGCACTTGCTGCTCCCCCTGCTTGGAACCCATCCTCCTACCTGCACGCATGGCTCCTCCCCTTAACAACTCAGTAAGTGTCACCTCTCAGAAGTCCTCCCCACCCACCCTGTCCCATGTACCAGTCACTCATGAACAAGAGCTGACGGCCAGCAGCATCAGGAAGCTGCTTTTACCCTCATCTCCCCAGGTTCTGTAAGGGCAGGACCTGTCTTGCTTACAACAGTGCCAAACTGGGACCAGAACCTACAAGGCACCAAATGTGGCCACTCCAGAGAGATGGCACACAGGACAAAGGTTGAATGCAAGACAAACCACAATGACTGCAAACCACAGACAGCTACGCCATCTCTAGAATACGACAATATACTTACTTGTCCGACCTTGGAGAGTTTGAGTTCTCTTAAGGTGTAGTCATGAGCGGCACTTTCTTTCACATTCCTAACACGCATGACCCCATATTCTTTGAGCGCATACTCATCAGGCCAGTACTTGACGCATTTGCTCTGGAAGGGACCAGAAGGAGCCTGTTAATGTCCAAACCCTGAGTGAGAGCCCAAACCAACAGGGAACAATCATCCCAGACCTGCTGTTGATACCAGCAAGGAAAAGAGCCTACCTCCATCCTCTAGACTACCAAGAAAGGAGTAATACAAATAAGCAAAGTGGGCCAAGGGTGTGAGGTATGGCAGATCAGCCTGATCCCCACTCCATCTCCCACCCTCTACCCGTAGCCTCCAAAGCAGAGGCAACACCTGCTTATTTAGCTCTGAGGATGAAAGAGGCAAAGTGGGAGGGACTAACCAACCTAAGACTGTCCTCTGGCAAGCAGAACTCCCAATCCCAGCACTCCACCAGTCCCTCTGAGGTGAAGCACGGTTAGACTCTGGGGATGGTCAGGATGCTTATGTGTCATGGTGTATATGACCCAAGCATGAACAGCTCACTCGGAGTGGCAGGCAGGGTTCCCAGACAGCTACTTTCTCTATATCCAGACTCATCCGGTGCCAGCTTCACATCAGCTTCCAGAATGAGAACAGTCTGCAATGGCTGCTGGCTTCAAGAACCGGTGGGACAAGCACACACCATCACTAACGTCAGCACTTGGGAAGGTGGGTGTCTCGGAGCTCGGAGTCAACCTGATTTACATAGCAAGTTCCAGGCCAGCCAGAGCTGCAGAGTAGGACTCTGAATGATGGACTGAAAGTTGAGTGTGTGCACTGGTAGTCCCAGAAAGCAGAGTCAGGAGAATCACTCCAAGTTCAAGGCCAGACTGGTCTATATAATGAATACCATGCCAGCCAGAAATAAATAGCAAGACCCAGTCTCAAAACAAACAAACAAACAAACAAACAAACAAAAACAGAGCAGGTAGTTGAAAAAGACAATATCAATGGTGTAAAGGAAAGCGATCTTGTCCAGCCAAGAATGAGCTTGCATCTACCTGACAGTGAGTCCACAGCTGAGCATACTCTGTTTCTGTCTTTCTGGAAGCAGTCATCCTGATACTCACTTTCTAAAAGCACCCATGCAAGCATCGGCAAGGGAAATTTGCATCAAAGACTAGCAATACAGAGCAACTTACAGGTAATGAAAAACAGGAGCAGAGCTAGTTATAAAGCTCAGTAATTAACCCAGAGAGCACTCCAAGGCAGAAGGAGCAGCTGATGGAATGGTGTGATCTCTTATTCTAAATTCAACAGTGCCTCTGTGACAGATATGATAGGATTTCTATCATCCCCAATGCAATGGTGCTGTTTTCTGGCCAATCAATTCAGAAGACTGGTCAACAAAGAACACAAAATCATCATGACTTAAAAAAGAGCATTTTGGCTGACTCTCAACACCTGCAAGCCACTGCCTTTTGCCCAGTTTTCCCTGTGTTGCAGGGCTGCTACATAGGAAAGCTGCCCCAATCTGGCTTTGCTTCTGTGCAGCAGGGGACATGAGCTGTCATTAAGGCTGTGAAGAGACTAACCACCTACCATGCCATCCTACATGCACTCCCAAGGTGAAGTGGAAAACTGGGTCAAAGAGGTAAGGACTAGAGCTGAGAACCGGGCACCAGGGACCATCCCCGACCAGACCAATCTGTCTGGCTCTGGAGTTTCCAACTGCACTTCCAATAGCGACAAACCCGATTCCACTGTTTCAGGCAGATGTCCTCTGTGCAAGGTGACCTCTTACACTTCCATCATGCAAGGAAGCAGGAAGTGGGAAGCGCTGTAACTGCCCAGGAACTCAGGATACCTGACATCACTGCTAAAGGCATGTAGACATGCACCAACCAAAACCCTGCACAATCACTTGCCCCTCAACTCCCAAGAGCCCTGTCTCAGGTTAGTTTCTATATGTAACTGTAAAATTACACTCAATTTCTATACAAACCAATAAAGAATGTCCAAACAAAACTCTAATCAGAACACAAATAAAATCCAGACACTTCCATATTAAAAACCTATAAATCAATTTCACTTTGGAATGATGCAAAGATAACACGGTCCCTTAAAGAGATGTCTGCTTTCCTGGAAGTGCGGCACACAGAGTTCTAGGATCCTACAGCACCCGAAGAACATGGGGCTTAGCTCAAGGCTAAAGGGCTGGGGTGGAGTGGGACAGAAGTGGCTAGGCAGCTGATCCAAAGCAACACATACACACAGTGGCCAACAATTTCTGACACCCAATCTAGACCAACACAGGCAACAGCCTATGAAGAAATAAAGGCAAGAACAAGACTGTTAGGCTGAGCAAAACCACACTATGGCGACTAGGATTGGTTCGTCCACAGCACAGAACACAGGCCAATGTGTCCTAACAGTGGAAGGCACTAGCTATCTACTCAAGCACCACCAAGAAGCAGAACGGAGCTACTGTGGGAAAGAAAGCACAGCTGGCTGCGGCCAGTGCAGAACTCACACCAAAGTGACAACAGGGTATCTCTGCTGGAGAGGGGCAGGATGGGGCAAAGGCAGCTGTGACCTCTATGTGTCTCAACAGCTCCAGGAGTGCAGAGTTGGAATGAGTTCACTGTGGCATCAGTGTGCTCAACTACTATAGGTTCCAGCCAGAACCTGCTTCCCTCCCTCTTCCCCTTCTGCTTCTGAACCCAGTGGAGTAACACCTAACCTAATGTGCAGAAGAAGGTGCATGACACAAATGACAGAACTGGTACATGTGCATGTTAAAACAATGACTATAAACATGGTCTCTGTGGTCAAGACAAATATGTCAAAAGGAGACATAGAAATATTAAAAACACCCAAGCAAAATGTCTGGAGCAAAACCACAGAATGTGTTACGAACATGCAGCAGCCAGGCCTGGGTACAGAGCACACTCCACAGAAGACATGGCTGAGCAAAAGCAACTGTCCCAGCTCAGACAGAGGGAGGGAGGTGGCACAAAGCAGCCTCATGAATGGGTCCCCTCAAGTAGAACTGAGTGGAGTAGGAACATATTTTTTAAAAGTTAAAAGTGAACAGTAACTAAATTTAAGGAAATTCATAAAAGCACAATTCCAAAACACTCCATGAACTTATATAACCATGCTGGACCCACGTGTGGGTACTCCCCTATAATCCCAACACTTGGAAAGTAAAGGCAGGAGCATTAAGGAGTTCAAGGCCAGCCTTCTCTACATAGAGCATGGGACCAGACTGAACAATTAGAGACTGTATCTTTAAAAAGAAAAAAATTCAGAAAGAAGGAAAAGGCGGCAAATAAACTGAGACCTATCCAGTCAAAAGTTGTTTTTTCCTGAGGGTCAGGCAGATCCAACTGACACATTCAGTACTTGGTTGGTTGGTTGGTTATTTCTCAAAATAAGAGTTTCTCAGTGAAGCCCTGGCTGTCCTGGAACTCACTCTGCAGACCAGGCTGGCTTCCAACTCAGAGATCTGCCTGTCTCTGCCTCCAGAGTGCTGGGCTTAAAAGCATGCACCTCCAGTGCCCAGAAACACATCCATATTTTAAGAATATTTTATCAGGTGCTGAGCACACACAGAGCCCAGAGCTGAATGTGGGGGAGGGGTAGTCAAAAAAAGATAACAGTACATACCTTCCCTCTCTCCACTTCCTTTGTGGTCATGACAATGACTCGAGAGTTCTCCTGGAACACCATCCTCCAGAAGTCATTCACCGTGTTCTGCAGGCATCCTTGAGTGGCAATGTAACTCTTTTTGGGTTTTGAATTGTTGCACTTGGTTTCAAATTCAGGCTAGAAATTAGGAAGAAAAGCCTTCAAACATTTGAAAGATGGTGTCACGAGTATAAAGAGGCTAGCAACACGTGGGCAGAAAGCAGTGAGAATCAAGCTTACCATGATGATGTTTGCATTGATGTAATCAGAAACAGGCTCGTTGGGATCCCCATCATGCAGGACAACCCTAGTGTGATCAACTGAGGAGAAAGAGATGATAGCCAGTCAGTTCTCAGAGCTTCAGCATAAGCCATCAGGCTCAGGCCAGGCCAGTCTAACAGTAAGTCCTTCACAAGATCAACCCTCCAGTTAGCACATGTGCAACCCAAGCAATTCCTGTCTTGGTGATGCTGTGGGTACAGATTCATCACTGGGAGACAAGGTACTAGGGGTGTGAGAACCTTCTGTGCTATTTTTATAGCTTCTTATGGGTCTAAAATTATTTCAAGCTGTGGTGGTTTGAATAGGTTTGACCCCACAGACTCATGTGTTTGAATGCGTGGCCCACAGAAAGTGGCACTATTAGGAGGCATGGCCTTGCTGGAGTAGGTGTGGCCTTGCTGGAGTGTCTGTGTCCTTGTTTGGGGAAGTGTGTCACTGTGGTGCAGGGCTTTGAGGGCCTTTGCTTAAGCTCCACCCAGTGTGGAATTTCAGTCTCCTCCTGGCTGCCTTCAGATCACAATGTAGAATTCTAGGCTTCTCCAGCACCATGTCTGCCTGCATGTTGCCATGCTTTCTGCCATGATGATGATAACGAACTGAATCTCCGAAACTGTAAGGCAGTTTTAATGTTTTCCTTTTTAAGAGTTGCTTTGGTCATGATGTCTCTTCACAGCAATGGAAACCCTAACTAAGACTACAGCCAAAAGGCTTGGGCTCCTGTTTGTTTTCTTCTTATTTAGGTTTTGGTGACAAAAGTGAGGACTGAACCCAGAGCCATGCACATACTAGGCAAACACTGTTCCACTGAGCCATTATCTCCCCACAGGTTTTTGGTTTTAAAAAGTAGCAACAATGACATCTAAGATCTTCACAATCATCTAGGAAAGAGAAGTGGGTCAGAGTATAGACAACAGAAGACTGCACAGAAACTGGCTGCTGTAGAAGCTGGGCAACAGGTATACTCAACTTCTATGTATTAATATATTTCAAATTTTCCATAATAAAAGGTTTCTTTTTTTTTTTTTTCCACGTGGGAGGTTTATTAGGGGAAGGGGGGAGAAGGGAATAAAAGGTTTCTTAAAGAAGGCAGAGTAAAAAATTGGATCTGTAAGACAAGATTCATAAAGTATCAGTTGTCTTAATTTTACACAAAAATATCAGTATAAAATTCTGAGCGGTCTACCAAAAACAACATATTTTATGATGGGAATTAGCAACAAGGCTGCATTTGTTTCATGGATACAATCTTGATCTTCTCATCCCCCATCTTTAAAGAAATAAGATGTGCATCTCATAGGATGGTGCAGGCCTTGAATCTCAGCTACTCAGAAGGATGAAACAGGGACCTGCAAGTTCGAGGCCTACATGGCAACCTAGGGAAACCAAACTCTCTCTGTCTCTCTCTATATATATTTATCTATCTATCTATCTATCTATATCTATATCTCATATATCTATATAGCTATATGGCTATATATCTATATCTATATTTTTTTTAATTTAATTTTTTTTTTTTTTTTGGTAAGAGAGAGCTGAGCTGGTGATGCAGGCCTGGGTTCAATCACCAATATTAAAAAAAAAAAGAAGGATCAGTGGAAACATCTGATTAGCTCATTAACACAGCAACAGGTAGCTCATTTGAAAATCTGTAAGCAACTTCTCCCTTCAGCTTTTCTTATAGCTGCACTTTACAGTGAGAACCAGCAGCGCTCCGAAAGGAGAAAACTTAATAAGAAGAATGAGATTCCCCAAGGCCTCCAGGACCCCTCTACAGCTCCACGAGATTCTCTGCATGCTCCTGTTTGCCATTCTACGAGAGCAAATTGTCTTCACCCTTACATCCTCACCCACACATGTCAGAGTCATGTGGAACACATACACACACACATACGCACGCACGCACAGAAGCACAAGGCATCTTTGACCAGCTGAGCCATAAGGGTAATGCTGTCCAACTGTGCTGCAGCCTCTCAGCATGAAACCTCTGCATCCAGAGCCTCTAAGTGAACCAGGTACACTATGTAAGCACGTCACATATCTGTACATCAGACTCAGTTTTCTTTTCTCTTCTTTTAGATAAGGAGATATGTATGCTGAGCTCTCAATGTTCCCTTTTCCCCCATGCAACACCCTGCTGAGCCTACCCTGAAGACCCTGCATTAGGAAAAGTTGCCAAGCACACTGCCCTCGGGGCTCAAGTGTCCACTTTTCCCACTGACAAACTTGTTAAGGGGTTCATGAGAACAATAAGAAAGCCTGCTTTCATACAAGTGGTGCAGACATGCAGGCAAAATAATCATACACATAAAGATGGGGGTAAGGGTGAGACTTTAGTTGGGCCTGTGTTGCATATCTGTTGTCTCAGATACTTAAGTCTTGCCTGAGTGGTCAAGTAAATTCAAGGCCAGGCTGGGCAAGTGCTTGAGTGCCTCTGTCAAATAAAAAGTAAAATGAGAGCTGAATATACAGGTTCAGTATCACTGTTCTTGTCATTTAAGCATGAAGACCTGAGTTTGGTCCTCAAAACTCACTTTTAAAAGCTGAGCATTTTAGCATATGCGTCTAAGGCTCAGCAAAGTGCCATCAGGCAGATTCCTGGGCTCTCTGAAAGCCACCCTCGCCTAACAGGGGAGCTCCTGGCCAGTGAGAGACTCTGTGTCAAAAAGCAAAGTAGATGGCACCCGAGGAACAACATCCAAGGTCATCCTCTGGACTCCACATGTACCTGCACACAAGTACACATGAACACAAAGGCACACATCAATCAGTTAACTAACTAATTAATTAATGAACAAACAAGCAAACCTAGAAAGAAGGGTGGAAATAGACTCTACCCTCATGCACATGTACCCTCACACTAGTATACACAAAGGTACACAGAGATACATGTATATAAGTAAATGTACAAAGAGGGGTGGGAATGGGCTATATATGCATGCACTTGTACCCACACACTAGTATACACAAAGGTACACACACACACACACACACACATAAACAAGCAGGCATACAAAGAAGGGTGGAGATGGATTCTACTCCCACACTAGTATATACAAACACAAAGATACACACACATATACACACAAGAATTTCTGACCTGAGTAACTCTACAAGGAGAACCAGAGATGTAGCATGGTGGCAGAAATCTCGCCTTGAGTGCGTGAGACCTGTGGTTCAATTTCCCAGCACTCCAAGACAAAATGAAGCCCCCTGCTGTGCATCCACACAGTTCCAGACTAGGTCACATCAAGATGTGCAATGGCAGAGGCAGCTCCATAGAGTGGGCTCCAGCCTGTGTAGAGATGGGCCCTCACTGAGGCCTCTGCTCCATGCTCGCATGTGCGTGCTCCCTGCCAGCTTTGAGTGTTCACAAGGATCCTTCCCTATCTGCAGGAGCTGAGAGCCCAGTAGGTTCTCCTTTCTCCAAATGAGAAACTGAGGCCCAGAAGAGGTGCACCTAACCTAAATCATTGACTTCTCGTGAGAAGCAACGATGCAACTTTCAGACTCTGAGGCACATACCTTAGTGTGACACTGAGTCACAACGAGCCTGAGGTTGTTACATGTAGGTAGACCAGGAACAAATGAACAAGAGATGACTGCAGAGGGCCTCCTACTGCAGCTTTACTGGCATGAGGAGGGCATCGGTCCCCTTATGGCTAGTTATCTGTTAGCTGTATGGCCCTAGGGCACAGTGACTGCTACTGCTACTGAGGCAAGAGATGGATACTCACAGGGCAGGATGTTTTTGTATCTGTTTTTGTTTTTATTTTCTTGTCTCTGTCCTTCTTTTCGGCTATAGAGAAGCTTGCATTCCTGTTGTTGTAGCGTCTAGAAGCAAAGAAAAGTGAATATTACCACGTATCAAATACGCCCAAAACGGGGAAGTGAGACGACTAAGAGGGTAAGGGCACTTGCTGCCATATCTGACGACCTTAGTTCAGTCCCCATGAACCACACACACGGTAAAAAAAATTTTGAAAGCTGTCCTCTGACTTCCACATACCCAAATAAATCAACAAGTGTAAAATATATATGTATTCATATGTATTTATATAAATATATAAAAAGCATAATTTATATAAATATAATACATATCTATTTTACATGTATACTATATACATATAAAGTGACCCCTCCAAAAAAAATGGAGATGACGGGAAGAAAGGGGAGGGGAGAGGAAAAGAAAAAGAGGAAAGAGAAGCAAGTCAGCCTGCCTGTGGCCTGCTTTAAGAGTTCACCCTGTGGAACACAAGTCAGGCCTATGGAACAAGAATGCCCATCCTCACAGCACAGTGACCTGACAGATGCCTCATAGTGACCTACGCCAGCAGAAGGCTTCCTAAGTCATCATGGCCCACCCAGGTACAAGGTGCACAACGTCCAATGCTCAAGAGGGTGGATCATAGGAGTGAGGTTTCCTTTACAAAGAAGTGTCTCTTCATCAGATCCCAGCAAGCCCATCTTGTCAGTTCTGTGGTGCTGAGGATGGAGTCCAGGGTCTCTGGACCGGTCTAGGCCGGTGATCTGCCACAGAGCCCCTAAGCTAGTTTTGACAGAAAATCACAGACAAATGAAGAAAGCGAAAGGCAGCTAAAATGGAAAAGGGTTCCTCTAAGAGATGCCAAGCAGTCGCCTGGGAAGCAGGATCCATCGGGCACAACTCCACAGCCTGAGCTACTTCTACTCCATTTATCTTAAATTTCAAAATGGGTATAAATGTCAGGGATTTAGAACAAGTTTTTGACTCTCAGTGTCAAAATGCAGTGTTCAGCCTTGGCACATGGCTCCTAACAAGTCTTTAGCGGGTGAGGATGCAAACACAAAGAAAACAAGGTGTGTAGAACTTGGATGGTCCAATGCTTGTACGAGTCTCTCTCTCTCGCTCGCTCTCTCTCTTTTTTTTAATGTGTTCAGATCAAGCCATTTGTCTTCTGGGAGCTGGCATTCCCTGGCCTTAAGCCGGCCACAAAAGCAACGAGGTGGACAGGTCACAGGGATGATGTTCAAAAGGATGTGTAAGCACTCAGGAGGATCCGTCACTTCAGAGGCAGTCAGAGTGAGGAGCCGGAAGGTGCCGGTGCTGGCATCAGAGGGTAAGGATCTGTGGCTTTACTTCCACTGGCACTTACACTTGACTTACACTTACACTCGTGACTATCACCTGTGGAACACACTTCATGTGACATTTACTCATAAGAGCATGTGGCAGGTCATCCCTGTAAAAGGTGGGGCCCAGAGCCTCCCTGGGTCATCTTAGCTCCTGCAATGGGGGTGCCACCAAGAATGACCTTGCCAGAGTAAACTTGAAAGCTCCAGGTCAGAGCACCTTCACCAACACAACTCCATGAGTTTGCTGGACCACTCATCAGGAGCACAGTATAACATTCCCGACTGACTCTCGCACATGCTGTGGAGGTCATGACAGGCTGTGAGCCCTGAAGGGCCCCAAGCCCAGGGCCTGCATTCAGGCAGCTGGGTGCTGATTGCCAGGAGCTAGCAGCCTTCAGGGATGGCAAATGAACAATAATGCCTGTGCCAGTGCATCCCCACGCATGTCCAGGGCCCATACTGTCCATCCAATAAGAATTTAGTAGTTAGGATTGTCTATCCATTGTCCCCAGAGGCACTTCAGCTAATATCCAAGATTAGCAGCTAGCCTCTGCCAAGAACCACTTCCTTCTGAGCTCCAGGCTAATGAGGACAGGAGTCCACTAGTATACAGTAGCTCTGCCTTACTCCAAGGTTTGTATTCTGCAGTTCCACTCACCAGGAGCCCTGTGGACATGCACGGTCACTCAGGAGCTGAGCTGAGGACAAAGCAGAAGCAGGCAACAAAAAGCAAAACCAGGACACAGGCTGGCAATACCATTCCCCCAGAAATTAAACCAAGCCAAGAGCTCTCAGAAAGAGCAGAGGCAACTAATAGGCAGACTGCGCAGGTCCGAGCAGAACCAGAGAGGAGGGGATGGAGAGACGGCCCAACAGTTAAAAGCACTACCTGCTCCTTCAAAGGAAGGGGGTTTGGTTCCCAGCACCTACATAGTAGCTCACAGTTCTGTAACTCTAGTTCCAGGGATCCAATATCCTTTTCTGGCCTCCACAGGCACTGTATGCATGTGGAACACACACATATGCAGGGAAAACACCCATACACTAAAAAAGCTTTATGAAAGACTTCTGTGCTGAGTCTGGGACAGCTCTCCTGAAGAAGTCACAACGCCAAGGGCAGGGGTGAGGCAGCAGGTCCAGACACTGTGTACTAGGAAGTGAAGGGAGGAGAAATGGGAGTCAGGAAAATAGCAGCGGACCAAGAGGACCAGGTGGAACAATCTCAGGCCAGTGGAAGGAAACACGGCATGGCCGCCTTAGAATGCGACATGAAACCAGAAGTGCCCAAGCTGAAACCACAGGGGTCATCCTCACCCCTGAGGACATTTTTTCTGACTTTTCTTGAGACTCTGATTCTTAGTTCTTCAAAATGAAAATGTCATGTTTCCAAAAGGAAACAGCCAGCCACTGAAGATTTTTAAACAGAAAGGCACAAGAGAAATGCTGAGATTTGCCTTAAGGGTACATACAGGGTCAGAAGCAGAGTCTGCAACAGAGAAGAAGCTCAAGTCTTTTCAAGCAGGAGACCTGAACATCAGGCTGGAATCCTGTCTCCATCCCCTGCCCACCTGAGCTATCCTACACAGGCACAGTATCTCTCCAGGCATCTGGAGATACAATAAGATGCCCTCCTGGCTCAGCAGGACATAGAAAATGGAAATGCCTTCCTTCCTAAGAAAGGCAAACACAAGGAGGGAATATCAGGACTTCCAATATCTAGCCATGGAAGAAAGAGAAGGAAACTGCATCAAGGGGCACCAAGGACTTCTGCTCCAAAGTAATACAGGATTTCTGCTTCAAAGTAATACAGGACTTCCAAAGATATGAAGTAAAAGGAACACTTGGTCTCTAGAGGAATGACCTGTTTGAAAGGCATGAGTCTAAAGTGCAAGAACAGTAAGTAGCAAAGTGGGAAACTGCCCAAACCATAAAGTCAGAGCGCCAAAGCAACCTGCTGGGCAGAAGCAGGATGCTGGGTCAGAGGCAGAAGAATGCAAGGACAGCAGGACAGTTAGCAGGAAGGGAAGGGAACAAAGCAGGGGTGTGCTCCTGCTGCAGGTCAGAAAAATGCAAGAAAATGGAGGGAATGGGGAGCTGGCGAGGAGAGGGAAATGGAGAGGAAGAGGGGGATGAGGAAGAAGAGATCCTGACTCAAAATAAAAAGAGAGCAAGATATGTTGGTGAATGCCTGTGAACGCAGTACTGAGCAAATTCCAGGTCAGTACAGGCCTGTCCCAAATACTGAAAAAGTGGGGAAGGTGCTAAGGGTATACCTCAGTTGGTAGTGTGCTTATCTTCAATACTACATGAACTACTTAAAAAGTAGATGCAAGGAGTTCAAGGTCTCTTCAGCCTCACAGTGAGTTTGAGGCTAGCCTGGGCTACATGAGACCATGTCTCAAATAACAAAGAATACCAATAGCATCTTTCCAGTGTGTCATCTCAGTCCACAGGGAGACACCACACTAAACAAGTTAAGCTCACGGCTCAAGAAGAAGGAGCTAAAAAGAAACAGAAGCTGCAGAAGGGCCACTCAAGACCTAAGAGGAAGCAGTAAGGTGCTCCATGGCTAATAGAAGGGAAAGAGTTCATGGGCATGTGTAGTTCCAGAGCCACAGCCAACAACCCTAAAGAAGGAGCATCAGAGGGAGAGCTATGGTGTCAGAACAAGATAGAGCTTAGACTAATCAAAGAAACATCAGACCCTGACACTGCTCTTTTCTCAAGTTGGGGCCTCCAGGAAAGGTTCTGGTTTGAGAACCAGAAGGCTAGTGAGCCTGTGACCTAGAGCATTGGGAGCCTGCAGCTGGAGCCTGACTGGAGACTGTCCTTCGATGCTGACTGCTTGTTCACCAAGGGAAGATGTCTGTCAGAGATCACCAGCAAGAATTATCACTCTAGACAGCGCCCTGGGGTGCAGCTAAAGGCTTGTTTCCTTAAAACATGATCGCCTTGGAGGACAGTCACAGTGCTACAAGCAGGACAGAGTCACTGTGGAGAAAACAGGAGGCTACAGCTGAAGGCCCCTGGGCTCCGCCCAGCCACCGGCCAACAGAGCTGCAGGACAGGACTGGAAGAGACTGCACTCTAGAAAACTGAAATGACAAAGGAAAAGTTTTAAAACACAGGGGAAAGCAACCCCAGTATATCAGGTAGTCTATGATTCTGTTTGGGATATGGGGTTTTGTCTGTTGGATTTTTCCCCTTTGTCATGTGTTGCAGATTTAATCAGAAATATCAAGTTCAGAAACTAAAATCTTTCTGAAATCCAGTCCTATGAGCCTGAATCAGAATGCCTGGGGCATGCATGTCCCTGGATCTCTAAGTCCCAGCTACGCACTGGCCAGGGTTCTGTCCAGTGAAGCAAAGCCTAGCACACTGTTCCTCACCACCGAGGCATCAAAGCATCAGCAGCTCCTCTGCTGAGTCTGGACCAAACGTCTGAGCCCAATGCAGCTTTCTGAAGGAGTTCAGGTTCAACACATCCACAAAACTTTATTTAAAGACAAAGGGGCTGTCTGTCGGATTTTGAGGCTACAAGGAACCACGCAGAACTGTCCTGGGGTCTTCATTGTACTTGTCACTTTCCTAGATAACAGGCACCCTCTTGTTCCCTCCACAGCTTCATCTGGGCAAAGCATTCCCTTCCTCCAACAGACTCAGAAAAGTTACCAGCTTCCGTGGGTGTGTGCTGATTAAATCAAGAGCCACACAGAGTATTCACAAATCTGTATGTACACAATCAAAAGTGTCCAGCTTGCAATGGGGACCGTGAATGGGGAAAGCTCCCCTGAGAAAACCCCCAGAGAGGGAAGACTGAAGGTGTCAAGAAAACTCTTAGCCTACTCCCTCCAGCCTCCTTCTAGTAACAGCACCCTGCAGCAAATCAAGTTGTAGAATTCAGGCTCCTTTGAAAGACCATCACAGTGCACTGAAAAAGATGGGATCCACACATCAGAGTGCATTGAGGAAGATGGGATCCTCCAATCAGAGAGCACTGAGGAACACAGGATGCTGCATTAATCATCCTCCAGGAAGCAATTCTGACTCACTCACTAACATAACTGTGTCAGGGATTGAATTTTATTTTATTTATTTATTTTTCTTTTGCTTTTGTTTTTGTTTTTAGAGTCAGGGTTTCTCTGTGTAGCCCTGGCTGTCCTGGACTCAATTTGTAGACCAGGCTGGCCTCAAACTCACATCAATCCAACCAGCTCTGCCTCACTGAGTGCTGGGATTAAAGGCATGTACCACACCCTGAAATTATAATGAAGGTGAACCTCCAACAGCCTACAGTGGCTGTTCCATCCTTAACTGCATGCCCCTTGACTCCATCCTCAAAGGGCTAACTAAACTGGAGGCAGGGACAATTAGAGGTTTTAAAAGCAGGTTCTCACCTACACCCGACAGCTTCATCTGCAAGGTTCCTCAATGCTTTGACCCTAGCAATACAGATAGGATCCTGACTGTTTTCTACACCCCTCACACAAAGCCACCTTACTTTTTCCCTTTTATGTTGTTACTGATGTATAAAAAGTGGGCTGAAATTGATGTGTCATGGAGCCAGGTCATATACAACTTGTTTTCCGTGGCCACAGCAAGGGTGAGCTGGGCAGATGACACACTCTAGAATCCCAGCAGCTGGGAGGTAGAGGGGAGGGACTAGGAGCTTGACAGGTGAGCAGATGAAAAAAGGGGCCATAGGTAAGACATGAAGGATGGCAAACTCCCAGCTTCTTCCTCACCTCCTGACCTGAGATTAAGGCCTGGAGGGCTCTGGTTTCCCACAGCAGGGCCCATTTCTGGCTGAAATGGTACAGATTATGTTCAAGGACAAACCTGAATATGTCTACCTGAAGCTGTGGCCTATCATCTCCTCTGTCTTTAAGAGGGACCTGCCCTATACCATTGTACTGCCTGATTTTGTTTCAATTTGACACAAGCTAGAGTCATCAGAGAGGAAGGTGTCTCAGATGAGGAAATGCCTCAAGAGATCCAGCTGTGAAGCATTTTCTCAATTAGTGATTGATGGGGAGGGCCCAGCACATTGTGGGTAGGGCCATCCCTGGGCTGGTGGTCCTGGGTTCTAGAAGAAAGCAGGCTGAGCAAGGCATGAGCAAGCAAACCGTAAGCAGCACCCCTCCATGGCCTCTCATTATCTGCTGCTGCCTCCAGGTTCCAGGCCTGCTTGAGTTCCTTTCCTGACTTCCTCCAATGATGGACTATGATCTGGAAGTGTACGCCTGCATTTGATCCACAGGACCAATAAATAAATAAAGTTAAAAATGACCTCATAAGCCAGGCGTGGGGGCATACAACTGTGATCCCAGCACTTGGGGAAGCAGAGGCAGGCAGAATGCTGAGTTCCAGGCCAGCCTGGTCTACAAAGCAAGTCCACAGTCAAAGCTACACAGAGAGAAACCCTGTCTCAAAAAAAAAAAAAAAAAGATGACCTCATGACTCATTCTGATCTCATCAGACTTTAATTGACACACTCTGTGTTTTCCCTCTCCCAACAATGGTGGAAACCCCTCATCATGGTGTTCAAAGGGCCTACCCCAATGCCTGGTATGAGACTAGACCCAAGTTGACCCAAGTTCTAATCTCTACGCATCACTGCAGAGAAAGCACCAGGAATGTTCTACAAAGGACCCATCTCCAGGGCTGGCATTACCAGCATCTTTGATGAAGTGGACAATCTACTTGACTTCTCTGACCTCACACTCCTCTGTGGAATGGAACTAGCACCTTTCTCTGAAAGCTGTATGGCACAGGGTGGCACAAATAGCTTTGAATCCTCAAGTCCTACACAAAGCATGGACTAACCACTCCTGTAAAACAGAAAGTAGGGAGAGGGAGGGGGAAATGGAGGAAGGTGGGTATCAGTCAGCAAGACACCAAACTATCAGAGAATAAACTAAAAATATTCTCTAAGCTGGGCATGGTGGTGCATGCCTTTAATTCCAGCAGTGGGGATGCAGAGGCAGGCAGATTTCTGAGTTCAAGGCCAGCCTGGTTTACAGAGGAAATTCCAGGACAGCCAGAGCTGCACAGAGAAACCCTGTCTTGAAAAGCAAAAACAAAATCTAAACATAGACAACGAGCAAACGCTCGTAGGTTTATGCTATATGCAGGCATGAGTGACATAAGGAATATGACTATGAAGGGAAAGAGCTCTATCTATTAAGAAGCTCTGGTCAAGCCAGGTGTGGTGGCACATGCCTGCGATCCCAGTACTTAGGGAGGCAGCAGCAGGCAGATCTCTGTGAGTTCAAGGCCAGCCTGGTCTACAAAGCAAGTCCAGGACAGCCAGAGCTACACAGAGAAACCCTGTATTGAAAAACCAAAACGCAGCAGCAGCCCTGGTCAAATGAACAAGGAAAGACAGACAAGGGTCAGCAGCATATGAACACACAGGGCTGTGGGACAGGCTTACACCGGAACAGGACTCAGGACAGCTATCAGTCCCTTGACTTCCCATAATCAGTGTAAACTCACAGCTAAAACAAAACCAGAGCCCTTCTCCTGGCCTCACTCATAGCAATGAAACTGCAGTTTATCAGAAGCCCCTTGGATCCCAGAGAAATTCTATCCTTTTGTTTTTCTGGGGTCCTGCCAGTGGTCTGAACTGAGAAACAAATGGAGCTGCTGGCTCATCCATCTGAGACAAGCTGCCAACCCTTCCCGGGGAACACAATGCCCTTCTGCTTCAAAGAAGCCCCCTCAGTAACCTGCTCCACATACAACAAAGGAAGCCAGGGCCCAGCAAAAAGCCTTCCTCTCACCTGTTAAAACAGCACCTAATAACTCAAGTAAAAACAATTTGTCATGACTTACCTCAAATTCTTCCCAAAAGCCCTGCTTGACCTTATCTGTGGTCTCGGCTAGCTTGCTTAGCTCTCGAACCCGGCTTTCGATCTCAGCAGCATTAATACGTGTCGTGTTGAGAGGCTGTTGTATTCAGCAGTGGTGGGAAAGGAAGAAAACCTGTTTTAAACAGTGTTAATGCAGAAAGAAAAAGACTTCACAAAAGCAAAGGCAGAAGGCACATCATCCCAAATGTGTGTGTGCCTCTGTGTGTGTGTGCACAAGTGTGTGTGACTGTGAGTGCCTATATGTACAAGTGTGCATGTGTGTGCACGAGCCTGTGTATGTGTGTATGTGTCCATGAGTGCCTATGTGTATATGCATGTATGAGTATGCACTCGTGTGTGTGTGTGCACGTGCCTGTGCGTGCCTATATGCACAAGTTTGCATATTGCATAAGTGTGTGCAAGTGCTGAGAAATGTTTTTGTCCTTTTTAGGGAGGCTGCAGGGCTAGAACTCAAAAACACCAGATCTCTCCTTGAGCCACCCTGAGTCCCAAGACCAAAAACTTGGAAGCGTACTTTCATTTTCTTTTCTGTTCTGTCAGGAGATGCCTCTCTCCACTCCCTGCAAACATTTTAGGAACTCAGCAGGTACAAATTCAAAGCTAGATTTCTATACAGTTACACCCCAGCATCATTTCCAGATGAGACCACAGTCAGAAAGTGAAACAGAAAGTTTAAGTCCCTACAGGGAACTAATGGTAATCTGGGGTGAACACTTCTTTTAAAGGACAAAGCAGTACATATGTGTAAGCCCAACACTGAGACAGAAGGGTCATGAGACTAGCAGGGCTACATGACAAGACTATGTATCAAATGAAAGGAGAAGGTAAAGTCTACACATGAGGGGCTGGGGGGTAGAACACTTGCCTAGCATGCACAAAGACCTGGGGTTTGACTCCCAAGCGCTGAAGGGAACAAGAAAAATGTCTATAAGGAGGCAGGTCACATAGGCCAGAGTGATGCATGGGTGGTGTGCCCTGGGCCCCTCCCCAACAAAACACTTTCTTTCACAGATGTGGGAATGACGCAGCATCTAGGTTTGTTTCCAAATAGTAAAGAAACTAGAGATTTGCGCGAGTGACCATGAATGAAGACGGGCACAGTCTGAGGAACTGCTGACATTCTGTCTACTTCTGCATTATGCTATGGATCTTGAGTGTCACCCAAGAGGCCATATGTTGAAAGCTTGGCTCCAACCCTAGGTGCTACTGGGAGGTAGCAGAACCTTTAGAAGGTAGGGTCTAAAGGAAGACTGAGTCGTGGAAACAGATTAAGGCCCCTTCCTGTCTGTTTCTCAGCCAACTGGTAAAACCCCACAAGTGCTCTCACTATGGTACACGTGCCTCCACAGGCCCAAAGCAGCAGTCAAGTGACTGGGCTGACTCCTTGAACCCTTTTCTCTGTCAGCCAGTCTTCACATATCTTGTCGCAGTGAGGGGACACTAACTGGTACATTATGTGGAAGATGCCATGACAGAATTCTCACAACCTGTAATAGAAACAGCTTGTTTCCTAACCTGCTTGAGCTGCAGGACTGTGCCCAGAGTCTCCACCATGGGGTTCTTCTTGTAATGCTCCACCAGGTCTGTCAAAGAGTCAAAGCGCTCTCCTCCACCAACGTCGTATTTCAGCTCCTTTCAGGACCAAACAAATAGCCTGGTTACCTCACACTAGGTTATTGTTTTCCCACCCTCCTGTCACCACTGTGCTCTTAGTGACACTAACCTATATACAGAAACAAGCCACATGTTTGCGTATAGGGCATGAGAACAAGACAGACGTCATCACAAGTGAAGCACACAAGGCCAAGTGAAGCACCACTTGGCCCTGAGAAGACAATCCTGTCATTGATGACAACTAGGTGAGACAGGAAAGCCTCCCAGTAAATTAAATAAGCCAAGTACTGAAAGGAACGTACAATGTCACCTCATTTATATTAGCACCAAAGAAAAAAAGTCCAACACACAGTGACAAGAGATCAAATGGTGACTCTGAAGGACTTGGGGGCAGGTGAGGGTACTGATGACATACAGAGCCTCTCTGTATGGTAAAAAGCCTCAGGAGCCCAATCAGCAGCAGGTGACAACAGTGAACAGTGCTGCATACTCTGGAGATTTGCCAGGAGGGCATCTGAAGTATTATGAGGGAATGGGTACACTTAATCAGCCTGACTCAAAACACTAAACTGGATTCAACTGGAAACCTAGAGACTGACTCCCATTAACAGAAAGCGAGACACCCACAGTTCTGGGAAAGAAAGGAAGCGACAGTGCTAATGAAACAGCTGAGGCAGGGGACTGATGACTGTAGCTCAGTGGTGGAACAGGTGCTAGGTTCCACCTCAGCACCAAAGACAAGAAATGATATAAAATGTAATTAAATCAAAATCAAATACAAACTCTACACACGCTGTAACACATTCCCCATCACTTCCAGACTCCTCACAGTGCCTATCGCAGCCCAAAGCTCACGTAATGTCACATACACAGCTGTGATGCTGTACACTAGGGGATGTGACAAGAAAGAAGTCTGCACATGCTTAGACAGACACAGGATGTTTTTCTGAAGACTGATGACCCCAGGGGTAGCCCCACAGACATGGAGGGCCAGGTGCACAGTGTCACCAGCCTATGACACTCCTCAGAAGTGCTAATCTCACAGAGCAGAGGCTATGTGCACTGAGGTATCTATCAGAGATAGACCCAAAGGAAAAACTAGAATGGAAAGTTGTGTGGTGGCACACACCTGTATCTCAGAACTCAGGAGGAAAAAACAGGCAGATCTTTGTTGGTTCAAGGCCTGGCTAATCTACATAGTGAGTTTCAGGATAGCCAAAGATACATAGAGAGACCCTATCTCAGAAAAACAAAACAAACAAACAAAAAAAGCCGACAGAAAAAAATCCAACAAAAAAAAGAAAAGAAAAGAAAAGAAAAGAAAAGAAAAGAAAAGAAAAGAA